TCCAAGGCAAAGTATTGCTCAAAGTTCCAATTTTATGAAGAGAGCCATGTTGGCACATCTGGGAAAACCCGAATCTGAAAGCTTCCCGGTTTTCCCCACCCGGTTGAAAGTTCAACCTCTTGCCCCCACCCCCACAAGTCCATCCCATGGTCCAATCTCCCACTGCCACGCTGGCAGTTCCACCCATCCAGTTCCGGTCAGGTGCAGAGGCAAAGGACGACCTTGGCTTCCCAGAAAGGAATTTTGTTATGGCTACATATCATCCCCCCCCCTCCCATTTTCCCACAACAGAAAAGGCCTAGTAGAATAATAGAGAGTGTGGCAGGCCAAAGACCCAAAAGGAAAGATGGCTGCAGACCTGACAGGTATCTTCTATATCTAATCTAATGAAAAGAAGGGCTGGGCTGACATGATAGCAGTGTTCCAATATTTGAGGGTCTGCCACAGAGAAGAGGGGGCTGGCTTGTTCTCCAAAGCACCTGAAGGCATCACAAGACGTATCAGGGGGAAACTTTACCAGGAGAGAAATAACCCTGGAATAACGTGCAGCCTTCCTTTCTTCCTTTCTCTTCCAGAAATGCCCCCTTCCTTCTTCAATGAAGAGGAGAGCCCAACGCCATGCAGAGCGCTGAGGTCACTCATGAAGATGAAGGACTTCCAACTGACTGAAGATAAGAAGCAGCAGCTGCCCACTTGCCATGGGCCGGAGCCCCCCCTTTTGCAGAAGCCACGTTTCTCCCTGCGCCAGGATGGGACTTTGGGGCCAGAAATCCCTGATTCGTTACTGTCGTTTTTGAACCAGGGGGGTTTTGTGGAGGGCTTGGGGGGCCTGTACGACCCTCCTTTGTCCTTTCTCAAGACGTCCATCCAGGGCGATGCCACGGAGGAAGAGCTGATGGATTCCTTGGCTCGCGCTCGGGCAGTGGCCAGACAAGCCGACCTGCCCTGGGCCACGACACGGCTCTGCTACCTGCTGGGAAGGATGAGTCTCCAGAAGTCCAAGCTGTCCCAGGCCCGGGTGTATTTGGAAGAAGCCCTGGCAACCCTCCGGGGGGATTTCCACGACCTCCACTTGGTAGTCACTCTTTACACCCACCTCACAGGCATTTACCTGAAACAGAAGAACGCGGAGAAAAGCGCTTCCTTCCTCGACAAAGCCGCCTCTTTGCTGATGGGCGTGGCCAGCCACACGGACAGTGCAGAGATGGCCCTGGAGATCTTGAACTATGCCTTGAAAAGAGCCGTGCTCAGCCGGAGCAGAAACGCCGAGGCCAGGGCCTGCTTCCTGCTGGCAAAGCACTGCCTGACCTTCAAGCAGGGACAGGAACCGGCCCCCTTCCTGGAAAGGCTGCAGCAGCTGCTGAATATGGGCCAGGGGTTGCCCAGTGGCGGGGGGTCCGTGGACTGTTACCTGAAACTTGGCCAACTCTACAGCCAGAAGTGCCTGCCCCGCCTTGCGCTCAGCTGCGCCAAGGTGGTCTCTTCCCGCAGCTCCTGTTCTCTGCTGGAGCTGTTCAGGACCCTCGATTTGGTGTTAAGGAATGCCTCTAAAGTCCACAGTCCCACGCCTGGTGGACAAACACACCCCTCCCTCATGGCCTTTTACCTCCGAGAACTGCTTCACGCGCTGGAAGGGAGCAGGGGCAGCCAGAAGCTGCGTGGCATCATTTACTGCGGACTTTCTCAGCTGCACAGCCGTTACAAGCGGTATGAAGAAGCCATCGGCTACATGGAGGCGGCTCTAGAGCTGAACCCGACTGGAGAAGTGGAGGAAGACACCATTAACCACTTCATTTTCCTCAGCTGGCTCTACATCCTCCATCGGCAGAGTGACACGGCGCTGTGCATTTTAAAGGCGGTCGCAGAGTCCCCCTGGAGCACCCGCCAGCAGTTGGGCGTCATCCATAACATGGCAGCCATTAGTCTGAGACGGAGGAATCAGCTCAGGGAAGCCGCGGAGAGCTACTTCAGAGCTCTGGGCATTTCCAGAGAGACGGGCAGCGTGGCTAACGAGGCCGTGGCTCTGGCCAACCTGGGCCTCCTGTACCTGCACTCGGCTGCCCAAAGCCTGGGGGAGCATTTCTTGATCAAAGCCATCCAGCTCTTCTCCGAACTCTCCAGCAGAGAATGTGGGGGGAACTTCGTGGCCATCCTCCTCCGGCTGGGCCACCACTACGCCCGGGGGGCCCAGAAGGAGAAGGGGAGGAATTGCTACGAGTGGGCCTTTCTGGTGGCCATGGAATGCGAGGATGTGGAAGGTAAATTCATTTCCCAGGTTCACAATGAGGATAAATGCGGCTGTAAAGCTTTCCCCCAGCTCTCAAGGCAGAGGGCCCAGAGGAGCTAAGCTGGATACCTTCCTCGGGTTTCTTTTGTCCGCTCAGACACACACATTTCGAAGCAAGTCTGCTGCCCTCGCTTCTCCCTCTGCTACGACCTGGAACCATCAAGGGACGGAAGACCCAGGAAGGGACAGTGGAGGCTTCTGCCTCCTCCCGCTCCTCCTCCCCCTCCCCCTCCTCCTCCT